CGGTTTCCATGTACTGAGGCCCAACTTCCTTTGTCTGGTTCAGGTGACATTTGTTTCCTTAACAACTTGTTTCCTTCTTATCTATCTCCCTGAAAGGATCTTTTAGGTAAGATTCCTGGCTTTGGTCCCCTCTGCTTTCCTGCTGCTTCACCTTTTAGTTATGGCAGCTTCAGCCTAGTCTCACACTTGTCTTAATGCCATTATAAGCAAACCACTCCTTTCCTCCTTCTGAGAGCTCATCAGATATACTGTTACAAATGGATGGAATTTAATTCAGTGTTATCCAAGGTTATGTGCATGTGTTCCTATTTAATTTCTCTTCAGCATCTGCCTTATCCTTTTAAGGACCTGGTGAAAAAATCTGAGATTTTATTGTCAGGAAGAAGGGAACAGGACACAACAATTCCCCTCTACTGGCTCCAAGGAGCCACTACAAGAGGGGAGAAGGTTTCTATATTACCTTGAATACTCCAACATTGATATATCAGTAACTCACTCCCTGTGGGGCTATATAGCACCACTTAAGAATCATTACTCCAACCTGTACAGTACACTTACAGAGAGTCTCGCTAATTGCTGATAATGTCAAGGATGTGAGACAAACAGTATAGTGAAACCAAGTGTTCTTACAAAAATCTGCTAAGGATTTTATGCTTTGCAAGAACAAAGAGAGCGAGCGCTTAGAAGTGAAAAAAGCCTTTGTTGCCTAGCTCAACTCATTAGAAGATTCTAAATTAAGGGATCTAAGCTGCTGAGCTTTCTGCAAGCAAAGAAAGCGGCCATTAATTCTCTACGTATGAAAGCTCCTTACTGGTAAAATATCCTACCAAAATGGAAAGTAGGGACAGGATGGCCTCTTTTCAGATCTAAGGGGTGCTATGCAAGAAAAAAAAAACCCTTTAAATCCAAGAAGGTTCAACATCTTCACATAGTGAACTTTGATTGTATCTGCTTGCTTTAACCCTGTTACAGAGGCTTAAGACTGGAATGTCCAAGAATGTCAGGTTGTCCAATTTAGAGTATCCGCAGAGGGAGGAAGGAAAAGTAGACCACTAAGGCGGCAATTCCAGCTGGGTTTGCCTCTCCCTCAACCATCATTCAGCACCGTTCTTCTGGCCTATGGCAGAAGAAAGGACAAAGTTCCCTATACATTAAGAATTGGTTCCTGAGTGTTTTTTCCCCTGCCCTGGTCATTTTTTATTTACTGTCATATTTGTTTTAAAGATTGCAAATATGAGATTAGGGACTCTCTTTTTATTGACACAAACTGCATTGGGAGCCTTTTGAGCTGAAGTGTGGGCGTAAGTGCTTTTTAAAAAAATCACAGGAATTTCTTGGAACTTGGAACTAAAAGCTAGACAGAAATTAGGTAAATCAACCCCTTGCTTCTCTTCAGCTACCAGGTACAAAGAAGGGAAGAGGTGGGAGTCCCCACAGTTTAGATTCCTCCATATGTTCCAACTGTTTTCCACCTACCACTGAATGAATTCTAAGTATAGACGGAAATGAGAATAAGTAGCCTTGGAAAATCCTAGTTAATTTTCTTGCCTCAGGGCTCACAATTAATTTAAGAGAAGGCATACTGTGAACTTAAGCTCAGCAGCTAAAATCAAATGTGCTCCTATAATTTAAAAGGATTTCTACTTCATCTTTGGGGTAGGAGCCCAAGACTCCATTCCCCACTGCATATCTGTTTGTTCTAGTACAAGCAATATAGTTTGGGCAGAAAGCATTTGCATTCAGATAAAAGCTGATGCACAAAAAGACTTAGACATGAAGTTTCCTGGTCTACAAAATGATGCATAAATGGAAAGCTGGTTCTATACACAGGTGTCTTGATTTGGAAATCTTGTGTTAATTGGAAAGACCCATGATGCTACAAAAGCCCCAGTTAAGCCAGAAGATAGAGAGATGTAATAAGAGAGGAAAACAAAGGAAATGATTAAAATTTCATTGCCGAACTCTGCCCTTAAGCTTGTGAGCCTCAGTGCTGTTGTTCATAAGAAATGTAACAAGAAGTATTATTGACTCAAAAGCTCCCCAATTCTTGCGGCTACAAATGCAGATGGAAGGTGCACTAGGTTAGGAAAAGAGAAGCCGAATGCTCACTAGCTGAAACCCAGGGTAGAACGGGATAGACTAAAGGCAATCTGACTATGGAACCAAGTCATATGGGGAGTTTCCTTGAACAAGGGATTTTCCTGGACCATGTTAGAATATCCAGTCTCCTCTACAACAAGGCCAGTGAAGGGAGAACACACACTCTGGAAATGGAAGCTGAACCCTTTTCACATTCCATGTCATGCCCCACTTACCCAAGTATGTGCATGCTGAATTATGAGAGATTAGGACAAATTAACCCTGAGAAGGGTTCCTTTGTTTAAAATTTGAAAACGATCAGAGAAGGATTTGAAAACTAAAAGAGGATGAAGAGGCCAGGCCGGGGACCTTATGGGAAAAAGCTCCAGCTGCACTGAAGTACTCCATCTCCATCCCATTCCTCTGAGTAAGAGAAGCCAGCTTTACATCCTTATTCACATTTGCCAAGATGGGACTAAGCAGTCAACCAGCACACACTTCAATGACTCACACCAACCCTTGTAATGTAGTTAAGCCACCTGTTTTTATTTCATTTTTTCTAACTTCATAGCACAGACCAATCCAGCTTGTATGGAAAAAGCATGGCTTCTTTTCCTTTCATTGTGGGCTGTGTGCACTCCCATGCCAGTCTGTTTCATGATTCCTCCCAGCTAGAGGCTGCCCACAGATACTCAGCAAAAGCACAAGTCAAAGCGAAAGGCCCAGTAGCACCTCTTACACCATCTAGACAGGCCGGGGAGTGGAGGGAGAGCCTACTCAGTGCTGCAGAAGAACAGTCACCGAAGTATAGGAAGAGGCTGCAGGCAAGGAAACTGCCACTGGACTGCCTTCAGTTGGCAACATGGAACGAGAGAAGGAATCCAAGCAATTCCGGTGACCAAGACTGAGAGCCCGGCCTCTGCATCAGGAGGTGGAAGATGGCAGCTGCCCTTTGTAAACGTATTCCAGGGCAGTGGCAATGGTCCGCATATCCATCTCGATGCTCCGCGCCCAGTTCTCCACATCACCAATTTCCTGCCCAGGGAGCAAAAGTCAGGATCAAACCTCTGCTCTTTTGCTTCTCAAATCCATGCATGCAGGGACCTACTTTCTGCCCCTGGCAGAAGGAATTTTCTAGTACATCCTTCTTCACTGGCACTTAAGTAACTTTAGATGAATTCAAGTATAATGTACAGAAAACAAGTTCTACCGTTTAACAGAAGACCTTTGTTAGCCCCTTATCTCTTTCATTAAATACCCTTGAAAGACTATGCAATCCTGTGCATCTCTTTATTGTCTACTACATTATTAAAATTTAGACTGCACAGAGATCAAAGACTTATTTTTCCTATGCTCCTCTGCCATGTATGGCATTATTGCAAATAATGGCACATCACAAGCAGTTTTAATTATTTGAAATTGTGGTTGATACCTTTAATACACTGCTAAGTAGAGAGGAACAATTGTACGTGCTGACAGATTGTGCAAGAGTTAGATGTGATGAGGTTTGTTTTAAGTTGTCACATTTATATATATACACCATTTAGGATTAAGAATGTACAGGCACAAATTCCACACATGCATCTAGACCACTCCTGTCCCTTTTATGGAGTTAATACCGTGAGCAGCCTGTGCCCAATAGATGGTGCTCTTCCATTACTATCAGGGCTACTCACAGCTTGAAGTAACAACAAATACATGGGTGAAATCAAATGGTATGGTTTTGGTAGTGAGTGGCTGACAGTGAACTTTAAATAAAAATATAACTATGCCTGCTTTTCTCAGATGGCTCAATATTCTCATCCTTGGCTGTCCCAGGAGCCCACCAGGTTGCTGATCCCTGCCCTAGTAGGCCACAGTGGAACCAGAGGGCACACGAGGATCAAGGTGCATTTTTAAATGGGCATGTTGGATGAGATTTTTGAAACAGAATTACAACATAACTCACATTAAAGAGATTGTAAGTGATGGGCTAGTGGGGAGAACATCCTGTTGAGGGGCTTGCTACTCTTTGCCCCTTCTAAAGTTGCCCCACATCTGTCCAAGATCTTTCATATCTGGGAACTGATGGCTGTTGTCTACTGAAACCCACCTGCAATTCCTTCCATTCCTACTCACCAAGCCCAGTCCTTTAAAGCTGACCTGGAAGCTGCTGCATAATACATGAACCATGGCCACTCATACATGCACTGCACTCACCTTCAGAGCCTGATTGAAGTTTTCTACCATGCTGATCCACTGGCCTGTTTGCTTGGCAAACTGAGCAGCTTGGATCTGCAGTGTCTTCACCTCATGGTCCAGCTTCCTTTGGTTCACATAGGCCTGTGCCACCCTGGGAAAGAGAGGCTCGGTCATTCTTCAAGACAACAAGGGAGGAACAGAACTGACTTCCTTTCTCCATACCAAGTAGCTTCCCAGCTCAGAGCAAGCTAATCCCAAGGGCAGAGACAGGCACTGGGAGCTCGTAGCTGGATAAGTTCCCAAGCTACAGTAGATTAAGCATCTAAGTAACATCTGGCAATCATTATATAGACTAGGAGCATCTGGATCCACTCATGACTAAGGCAAAGTCAGGTGAAAGATTCAGTGTGCTGAGAAGGGTGAGCGATTTTGAGTTGAAGGAATTGCCTAAAGAAGGGCGGATATAAGGGAAGGGCAAAATAATAAAAAAAACTGTAAGCAGCCAGAGTGTCTCCAAGATTGGCTGCTGAATTAATGGTATATGGAAATAAAGTAATTCTGAGAATTCCTTTCACTAGCACCACTGCATTTTTTTAGGAAGCAAATTTTCCAGATTGTATAAAACTCGATTTCAGGAAACTATGATATCCCCCTATATAAATCATAGCTTCAGGTAACAAATAGTCTCAACACTTACTCAGCATTACTTGTTCTATATGTCTCAATAAATGAACAGGAATACTCACTGTTCACTGAATGCTTCACTGAATGAACATTCTCAACTAACATACAACTGTCTTGCAGACAGATGGTTTTTGCGTGGTTAAGAGATAGAGAAAGCAGAAAACACTAATGCAGCACTGGTGAGTTTCAAGAGTGGAGAGACTGTTGGAACTCTGTGTAAACCTCACTCTATAGAACTGAACTCTTTGTGAGCGGCCTAAGAGGAATGTAAGAGCATGGGGTTTACTCTGAAATCTTCAATCACTTAAGGTCAACATGAGGAAAGTTTCAAAGCAAAACATTTGTGCTGACTGCTACTGTGGCTTGTCATACATGCATGTTATGTTTACAATGTGAAGTGCTAGGCTAAGATTGTCTTTGCACAGCTGGATGAACTACGGTCTTAACTTGTGTGGATGAAAATGATTATCTGAGACAGTTTTCCTATAGTTGCCAGATGCTCATTTTGTGGCAACTCAGCTTTTTCTATAACCATCCCAATTTTCTGGAAAATATTCTCTACTGAGTTGAGGGGCCTACCCTTTGCAGACCTTTTTAAACAGACTTGTAATTGCTTTTAAACTCTCTTAGTTTTAATTCTACTGAAGATCTACTGTAAACCACCAAGAGACCTCAATGATCAAAGGAATAGTCTTAACAGCCTTTCATGAAGCGCTGTTCTTGCCTGTAATGAACTAGGTCAATTAAAGCTCTTCTTTAATGAACTATGGTCTTCTGATACAATCCCTTCTTTAATCAACTGGGTATTATATGGATGCCTGATGCTTAATCTATTGTACTATTTAAGAACAAGTTGTATCTTCAATTAATTATCCCCTACTATATTTCTTTCTTTAATGAACTATGCAGCTAATTAAACCTTTAATTGTATTGTGTAACAATTGTGTTATCTTCAGTGAACAGATGCATGTTCTATAAGTAGAATATATTTTCACAAAATATGTCTTGAAGCTAAGCTGATATATTCTCTTTTCCTAACTTCAGATGAATGAGCTGTTGTATTGCTAATTATCAAAACTACATATATCTGACAGAAAATATACATCTGGGGAGGAAAACAGCAATATTCTGATATGGGTAGCAGTCTGACTGAAATTGACTGATACTCTTTGATAATATGCTAATGAGATATTTTCATAGACATTTCATTGTACATCTTTTCAATTAAGAAATGTTGATGGATAAAGTCAATATTGTCTGTTTATAAAAGACCCTTCTGAGATGCAAATCGCATATGCAAGCTACAGCAGAAAATCCATCTTGTGCCAATAATAAAAAGCTAAACATTTGTTAATAATTGTACTGTACTTGACAACAATACTTTTGAGAACTGAAGGAACTACTTGTAAGTAAGGGAAAGAGATGTGACAATTAAAGGGGAAATTCTTGAAAGTGACTGTGCTCAAAATGTGGCTTTATATGATTTGTTTTTGACACATTTGCTTGGATGTAACACTTCTGATAGAATTCTCTTCCTAGGCTGCTCTATTGATCAACAGGGAAGAGGGAGAGGCCATATTTTCTCCATCTGCAGTCCCTAAAAATTGCTGCAAAAGATTGGGAGATCCCAAGCCCCCAACTGTATGGGAGATTCGATGAGGATTGCAAAAGCAAATCAGAATAAGCTGTTTCTTCCCATTTCTTCTTGCAGGAATCTTGGGGGGGATCTTGGGTGTTTATCTGAATGAAAGGAATCTTTCCATTCATATCTGGGTTCAACCTACTAATTAAAGCAATAGAAAAAAGGCCCTGAATACTGCTAGATCCCTTAGAAGAATAAATCTTGAGATGGATTTGCTGGATCAAGTGAAAGGCCTCTTTAAGACTCAAGTGCAGGGGGCAGGGCTGGTACTTGTTTGACCCCTCCTCTCATTTGCTTTCCATTGCATCCTATATCAATTTAAATCTTTTCTCCACTGACTTTTGTCCGCTGAAGTCAGTAGCCCAATAAATAGGAATGGATTGGAAAACACAAAATATGTACTGAAATAACTTGTGGGATTATATCTTAATTGGTTAGTTGTCCAATGAAAAGTATTAATCTAATCATTTCATATACTAAGCCATGTTTTGTATAGGTCCCTCAACATGTGTGGGGCAGCTGCTCTACTGCATTTCCACCCATCCCACCCCCTTAAAGGCCCTGAAAGCACTGCATGTTCCTTATTTGAGAACTGATTTGTTTAAAAAGCCATGCCTGGAATTCATTAGAAAAAAATTTTTTTTTGCAGCTATAGGAATTAAAGCAAAGATAATGCTCTAATATGTTTAAGTGGAAGAAGATAGTCTCATTGCATAAAAAGGAAAAGAAAAGAACTTGTCTTGACTCTTAAACAAATAGGCATATGCAAAAATAAATTATAACTGCCTCACTAAGGAAAGGGATTGTGGATACAACATTAATGTTAGGGGATGCTTTTAAAGCTAAGATAGGGTCATTTGAGCATTTCAGGAAAAGGAGAGAACTATTTTCTCATGACACTGCAACACTGAGTACCAGATAGACAACTAATAGTTCTTTAAATACACTGGAACTATTAATGATGGCTTGGACAAACTGGATCTGATGAAATAAACAGGAGACATAAACCAGACATATTTTGAAAATCATTTGACAAATGATAAACTTTAGTTCAGTAATCCACAAAATAACGCAAAACAAAACAGTAAAGTTTCCATTGCATTGTGCTCGACTCCTGGTGACTTCATGGACACATCCATGTAGTTTTCTTGGCATCAGTATGAAAAGAAGAAATCTATTATTCACCACTAATAATGAAAACAACCATAGACAATTGACAGGCAGGGTGGGTCCTTTACAGCTAATGGTGAGGGTGGGTAAAAGAGGGAGACCAAAAGGCAGAGACTTATTGGTAGTGTGTGGAAGAGAGGACAGTCCCTCTTTTCTTGATTCCAAGGGGATGGAAATGAACTGGGTAGTGTTAATAAATTGGGCCTAGAAGACTCCGAATCCTCAGCCTTTCTGTGAAATATATATTACAGTTCACTGTGTATACTGGGAGAAGGAACCTCAGGCCTACCAAGATGTCCATCTTCCCTCAAGTGAATCCCTTCTGTAAAGGAATTTAGAACTCACTTTGGGGAAGATATGAAAGAACTGTTAATTACAGATTTGGATAAGAAGTTACACAGTCCAGACACTAAAGCAAGCATAAGAAAGAATCTCAAAATAACCCTGCCTTGGTTTTGTTTTGTATAAGATGGAATATAAAGAAACCTACACAGGTTTTCAACATTTTGAAATTTTTGAATTCTGTTGAATGGGAAAGAGGAATATGAACCTGAAGGTATTCTGGGCTATCCCAAATCAGAGATCACAGGAGAGAGCGAGAGATGACCACACTCCATACCTTGCGCACCAGTTCCATCTGAAATTCCTGTTCAAGCTCAGTCCCTGTGACCTCCTGTCACTATCAACAGACAATGAGTCCCAGGATGAAGGAGACACCTTGCTGATTGCCAGGGTAAACACTCTGGTGCCATTTGCTATGGTATGGGAAGGGAGAGGGAATTTTACAGCTCCGTCTGATTCTTCTGTGTCAGACTTGTCCACTGATCTTGGTAAGATGCCAGGCCCATCTTCAAATGAGGGAGGGAGGAAGGGAGTCTTATCTGTTGCCCATAACAACTGGTCTTGCTTATCTTCATACATGGGAGGGAAGAATCATTCTGATAGGGAAGGTGGAGTAAAGGAATTTAGAGCTGATCTTGCAGAAGCTATGAACAGCCATTAAGGAAGGACTTGGACAAGTGATTACTTGGTTCAGAGACTGAAGCAAAGGTGAGAGAGAAAGTCATTTGTTCAATATAAGATGGGACAGAGAGAAACTTTGACAGGCTTTCAAGATTCTGTTATTGCAGCCTACAACAATAAAGCAACATTCCTGGAATCCCTGCTGCTTCTGTTTCTTGACCTGGCCCAGCTGGAAGGGCTGACACCTGTCTTCCTACGGACTTTAGCCAGTATTATGGTAAAATGAAAAGTGTGAAGCTATTCGAGAAGCCTGTAAGGCTTGAGCATAGGGTAGGCAAGGACAGCCTGTTTTCCAGTCCAAGTTTAAAGGTACTAATGAGGAAGAGGAGCATGGGAAAATAGTCAGGCTACAGCTATTTTTATGTTCCCACCACCAGGATCTCATATGTTTGTGTGGTAAAAAGTTATAACAAAATGGTTTAGTCATCATGAATGGAGTTAGATATAGCATCTCAGAGAAAAACCTACGCAAGGCTTATTTCATTATTTGCTCCATTGTTCCAAAGAATTTCAATGGATCTGCAGTCTGATGAAAGCCCCTGGGGAAATGTAGCCTGAAGAATAAAATTATAATTCCCACTCTCATCCTCTAACCACAAAACTAAATGGCGCCAGCAACTGTGGGAGCTTGTCAAGGACAGAAGTCATGCTATAAAATGTTGCAGCTTCCACTTTCCAGTGTAAATAAACTTTAGAGAAAAGCAGGCTAGAGGGTGGTCTGTAACTTCAGTCCTGCCCCCTTTTAAAATAATTGTTGCATAAAAGAGTGAAGAGTGTGACACAGGCCACAAAGTGTTAACAAGAAATCATATCCTTCCAGTTAGTATTTCAGACCTTGCTAAAACAAACAACTTTTGCCTTAGATCAGTGCTTCCCAAACCTGGGTGAATTACCCAAAATTGGGTAAAAATAGTTTTTCTTTGGGTAATGACACACAAACCCATTACGCATCATAATAGGGACATTTAAATAGACTTAAAGATTGCCATGTATACTAAAATATATTTGAAAATCTCCCGAAGTATTCCTATTAAGACGAAAATTGATGAAATTACCAATGGTAATTTGTTGAAATGACATAAAGATCATTCAATGATATTGTTTTTATAATACAGGTAGTCCTCAAGTTATGACCATTCGTTCAGCCATTGTTTGAAGTTACAACCATACTGAAGGAAGGGACTTATGACTGGTTCTCGAAGTTCTGGCCATCGCAGCACCCCTGCAGTCATGTGAACAAAATTTGGGCGCTTGGCAACCAGCTTGAGCTTATGACCAGTTGCAGTGTCCCGTGGTCACATAATCACCATTTGAAACCTTTCCTGCCAGCTTCCCACAAGCAAAGTCAATGGGGAAGCCAGCAGGGGACATCACAAGTCACTTGGGTAAGTCTCCCCCACCCACCCTTTCTTTGCTTGCAGCACTGCGCCCTTCTTCCCCCCTTCGCTCGCATGCACCCACCAGTGCCCTCCTTCTAATAAGTGTTTTTGGGTAATGAAGGAAAAAGTTTGGGAAGCACTGCCTTAGATGTTCTTCTGTCACATGTATATTATTCCTCCAAGATTTTGCCATCATATTGAGGCTAGAAATGTATTTATAGCAGAATTGCTTAAAATCTGCTGGGGGAGGATGGACATGAATAAGTTGCATCAATTTATACCTAAAATGGAGAAATTAGGTATTATTTTTTTCTCCTTCTTTCTTAATAGTAGAATTCAAAGTGACCAAAGATGAATCATGGGTAACTCAGAAGAGATAAAAGAAAGCAATTTTTATGATACTTAGTTAAATTATAGAAGTCACTGTTATAAATTGTAATGTTGTTATTTATTTATTTATTTATTTATTTATTTAATCAATTTATATGGTTGCCTATCTCGCAGATGCAACTCTGGGCAGCCCACAACACATTAAAAACAATAAAAAGAATGGTATCAACAAAATACAATGTGCCAAGAATAAAGCAATGAATCCAGTCCACATAGCTAAAACAACCGTGAGGAACTTCCCAGGGCCAACTATCAATAAATTGTAGAAAAGGACACCCCTATAAAAGAGAGGTAATTTCCAATCTGCACTCGTCAGAGCACCTAAATTTGGCACATGAATTCTACAAAGCTAATTTTGTTAACATGCAACAAATGGTGAGAATCATATTAAGTATTTATTTATATAGCACTGTGATATTTAAAGCTCATTACACTATTTAGGCATTCTTAGAAAAGTCCTGTATTATTCTTGGAATTGGTGAGATAAGGCTGAGTGACTTGTCAAATGCATGCATTAAGTTTATAGTCAAGGCAAGAAGACTGAATGGGGAACTTCTCTGTCCACAAATTGCATCCTTCACATTACTGGCTCTTAACTATTCCCTTATAAGGGAACAATTCAGGAACCTAAAGGTAGAAAATAAGAGTGTCCTTTTCTGCAACCCCAATCTTCTGAACTGTGATTCTCCCCCTGCCCAGATATACAAGTTAACTATTAAATAATTTTTCAGTAAGACTGCACAAGATGCTTACAATTTCCCTTGGTTAAGAACTTCACTTCATAATAGCAATGTGATTTTTCTTTGTTGAGTTGAAGAATTGATTTGCCTCCAAAGGTGCTTTGCAGCCTCAACAAACATTTGCAGTAGCTAGAAGAGGCTTCTGCATCTGCTGGACTGCAACTTCCCAAACAGAGCAGGCCACATGAAGTAACCATTTGCTCTTAGAAGTAAGAGGGTATCACTTCATGAAGCAGCTTCAAAGGGGTGATTCACTCATGCACTCCTCAAAGCAAAGCATCCTTTTGAAAATTTGCATAGAATATTTTTGTATTTTGGCAACATAAATTTCAAGTGTGTGTGGGGGGGGCATGTATCAGATAGCATAGGATTAAAATTCCCCATGCTTGCTCTGAGGAAGGGGACCACAGATGGACATATTAGAATATCATTAATGAGTTTGATCTTAAACCATGTATTGGGTACCAATATCCATGCATGTAATTTCATGGATATTTCATGTAATTTCAATCATTTCCCCCTTCTCAGTACTACTTACCCAACATTCAGATGATCAACCAGGGCTTCTGTTAAACAAGTTGCTGCAGCAATGGCTTCTCGCCGCCGCCGTTCTAGAAAGAAAAGCAAATGTCTCTTCTATGACATCATTAAAAGCAACATATCTGTGAAATGGCTCTACATTAGATTCTTGGCATGGTTTCCATGTTACGTCCTTCCTCTCACTATATGTTAAACTATATGTTTGGCATACAGATAGTCCCCAGTTTAAGAACGAGTTCCGTTTCCAATGTCTGTCCTTAAGTCGAATTTGTACATAAGCCAGAACAGTATTATTGTATAATACTGTATAAGTAGAATACTGTAATTAACTTAAATCATTGTGTATTTAACTCGATTTTTGCTACAATAGTCTCCGTTCTTAACTATGGGTTGTCCTTAAACTGGGCATTCTTAACCCGGGGACTACCTGTATTAAGGTTCCCTGCGTTAGTAGAGAATTTATCTTGTATACTCATATCCATCTCAACAGTTTGAGAGGGCTCAGCCTCCCATCTCCCTAAACCATGGCATGGATATGCCTCAAGGCTGTTTTTTTATGCCATGTCCCCATGATATTTCCATTCTTTCCTCAGCCCACGCCTGAAGCAATTCAAAGCCATCTTTAGTTGATCTAGTTGTAAAATAGTGGGTCCTCTCTTCTCCCAGTGCAATTTTTATCAGACACAGTCCAGCATGCTTAATCAACCATATAATTGCTTATGTAATCAGGGGTTGGGATGTGCCCAGCTGTTTACCACTTTAGAATATTGCAAGCATCTCTTCTGGCCACTGGGAAGTGCCCTCCGTTATCATTTTGGCTTGAGCTGCAGGACTGGACATCCTGGGTATGGGAGAGGTATCTGCTTGCATAGTGACTGGCTGGTTTTTTCCAAAGCACCTGTCAGGTATTACACAGGCTCCTTATGAACCTGAATTTAATTTGAAAGAGAATAGCGTTTTTTAAAAAGTGTTTTTCACAGTCTTTGGTGAGAAGACTAGTCTTTCACTAGATGGAAGATTGCCTTAAACTGGAAAAGAGCCAGGTTTTACCAGCTGTGTGTTGCTGGTTCTGTCTCCACTGCATGCATTACACTGCTTCTGACAAGAAGGGGTTTGGCCTGGAGCTTTTATTACTTTGGTGAAGGGTGGCAGGGTAATTCTATGTTCCATCTCCATGGATGCCCCAAAGTGCTGCAGGTCAAGAAGATAGAACTGGCTTTGCTGCCAGCACTGCCATTCATTTGCAAGACGTGGAGGGTGCAGTTGACTCCTGACTACTCCCTCCTGCATCTCCAACCTCTTGCCTGGTTTATTTTTGCACTTGGGTTTCGCACTCCTGGAACAGCAGAGATCCAGAGGCTACGAAATTCAAGCAGTTTATGCCTTCGAAGTTTCTACGGTTGTGTTCGAGTATCAGGCTAGCCCGTGGTTCGCACAACACAGAACCATCCACCATACGGGGGGCTCGCCCAGACGTGAGGTTCCAATGCAGTCTGGTCGTCTGTGCTTGCGTCGTGAGAATACAGCCGTAGCCACGCTCAAATACATGCTCGGAAAAGCCGGGTTTTTATTACGCGCCGAGCAACGACGCACTCCGAACCACTCCTTTATCGAAAGCCACTATTTCTCTCGCCTCGCCTGCCCAGGCCCAGCCCGGCCCTCCTCTCCCCAAGAAGAGTTCAAAGGCGACGCCGAGGCGTTTTCAGGGTGGCGGGAGCTGGGCGGCCGCATCCAGAGCACGGCCTTTTCCCGAGCTCCCCCGAGACCGAGGCTTCACCCGGCCGCTCACCTTGCAGCTCCTTCCTCTCGCTCTGCTTGGCCTGGTGCTCCCGCAGCAAGCGGGACAGCATGGCCGGCCTCCAGGGCACCGAAGCGCCCGGACCAGCCTTCGCCTTCCTCCTCGTCAGGTGACTCGGCACTCACGTGAGCTGCTGGGCGGTCCTCGGAGCCGCCGCCGCCGCCGCCGCGCGCAGGGAAGGCGAGGAGCCGCTGGGGGCCCTCTGAGGTCTCTGCGGCGGGGGTCTCGCTCAGCTCCGCTCTTTCCCGGGGGTCGGCGTTAGTAATAGCTGGCTGCTAGGAGAAAGGCGGTTCGTCAGGGGATGCTGACTCGGTGGAACGCCTGCCAGTCACGCCGGCAAAGAATTTCCCGCCTCTTAGAAGCGACTCGCGTCGACTTCGACACTGCCAGCTCAGTCTTCTTTTTTTAATTCCGAAAGATTAGCTCGTCAAATGTAATGGCTAGAGTCAACGAATCTTAAGTTTTGGCACTGATCTCCTTAGTCGACCAAAAAATGCATCTGAGGGGGGTGGGTTGGGTTTTTGTTTTGTTTTGGGTTGGGTTTTTTGGTGCTTTCAGTCGGTGTTGAGTCCTGGCAACTGCCTGGACACGTCCCTGCAGTCTTCTTGGCAAGATTTCAGAAGTGGTTGGCCATTGCCTCTTTCATAGGGCTGAGAGAGAGGGACTGGCCCAGGGTCCCCCAGCTGGCTTTGTGCCTAGGTGGGACTAGAATTCACGGTCTCCTGGTTTCTAGCCTGATGCCTTAACCACTACACCAAACTGGCTAATCTGAGGGTTTAGCCCTGGGATATTTTTGTCTCAAAAATTCCCCCCCCCTTTTTTTATTTTTGCATACAGGTATATTTACACATTTTCCTGTTCTATAACTTTTCCTGCTGATTGCTTATTTTATGTGCCTAAATGGGGGCGGGGGCTTTGCTTGTAACAATTAATATATGCATTTCTCTATAAAAGGAATATGGGTTTCATATGTCCAGGCGACACTTGGCTATTTTATTATTGCACTTCCCGTAACAAAAAAATGACTAGCTATTGATAGGATACATCCACAGAGTATGCTGTATCTAGACAACAAGTCAAAAATATAAATATGGGAAACATTTGAAATGAGCCTCTCCCATATAGATTAAATCTGTACTTAGGCTAGATCATAAGATGGGAAAGGCTAATATCTTATGTTCCTTCCTCAAATTGCAATAAAAATGTACAATTTCTATCATTTACTGATAGTTTGTAGTTTACTTCAAATGCATTAGATGATGAATTAACAGTGAATAATTTTTAAGAAGCTGGCTGTAATCAGAATGTGCGGGAATGAACTTGGCTGTTCTTATTAAAAGAGCATTACCAAAATTAAGGATTGCTGGCAGGGCTTTGTCACAGTGTAACTGAGAAAGGATGATTAAGCAAAATATGATATGGCATCTGAACTCACTGAGTTCAGAACTGGAATGATGAATTAATGCTGGGAATCAAAGCTGGATCAACAAGAAAACTGCCAAATATAGGTGAAGAGAAGTTGTGGCTCATGTTGGCCCAGGTATAGAAAGTAATCAGAAAAAATAAAGAAGATGAATTCAAAAACCCAGTGAGCTAATGGAAATGGCACATTGATATCTGTGCCATGCTTGATATGAGAGCCTCGGGACAGTCATTTCTATCTAAAATAAATTGAAAAGATCTCACTGATTTTAGCTGAAAGTACTTCTTGAGAATGTTACTGGAGAAAATGACCATTCTGTATGATACTTTCCTGACTGGATTCTTATCACCATTTCTCCAACTATTATTCATACCCTCTTCCACATCTTTGGGCTTACCTATGCAGCTTCCTTGTCATGTGCAGAGATGGCCCACCTCATCCCCTTACACCAGAGCCTTCATCTTGTTGGCGGCCTGCCACTGAGTTAGCTAAAGTCAGGCTGCAATGAAAATATTTTGTGGCAGCAGAAGCCTTCTCGTGGGAAACCGAAGACACTAAGAGGGGTGGGCTAGGTTCAGTCATCTTCCCCACTCCAATGGGCTGGGCAGACCTGCTGTGGAACTGCCTCCTCCCTTCAGGAGGTCTGGCCCTGTGCTCCTCTATCCTTCTTACTTGGGCTGAGGGGCTGGTTGGTCCTTCTGCAGCTCATTTTTACTGATCTTTTGCTGGAAATATCACCCTAAACTTTAGTTCCCTGGGAAATAACAAGCTTTGCACACTGGGGCTTTCAACTTCCAATTCAGCATTTGTAAGCACTGTTTACTTTTCCATCTCTCATGCACTGACCTTCCATGTCCCTTCCTCAATTTGTTGCTGGGATTGCCCACTTCTGCTCTGGCAGTGGTTGCCTGAGTCCCTGAAGTAGTTCCTTGATACATATATATTCTACCCTGTGCCAGGGATTCAGGGGAGGTGGCTGTAAGGGGGAGATTCATAAGGCTTTGTATTCTGGCACAGCCACAGTATGGTGGTACCTGAGTAACACTGTTTGCCATATTCTAGTTTCCAAGCATCACTTCCCTGGCACAGTAGGACTACCATGACAGGACTATTGTTATTCTATAGGTTGGTATTCCTGCTGGTGCTAGTCTGGCAACAGGAGGAGTACCAATGTTGTATACATCTACAGTCCTCCCACAGGGGCAGAATTTCTGCATGAGAGGAAAAGACAAGCCCCAAATCATGATCTGCATCTGGTTGGTGTTTTCTGCTTTGTTCCAACCTTCCCTTGCACTGCTTTGAAAAATTAAACCTGTGTAAACCCTCTTCGAACCCATATTCTGTATGGGTTAATAGCTTAATCTACCATATCTTGAAAGAGATGAGTGGTGGCACATCCTCCCCTCCCCCTGCTTAGAATTACAAAAAATAGATTTGGTTGCTGGCAGCCTGTCAAACTTTCTCCTCCAAATTTTTTGAAGGTTGATCAGATAGTTTGGCTGCCTGTCAAGTGAACGGCCTAAATGGAAGTTGAGTTTTCTAACTGGCTGACTCCAAGAAAGGTTTTAGGAACTAACTGAATCTTCTAAACAAGGAATTATTTTTCTCTTGTACCATTATATTCAGGGTACCTCCCACCTCCATCTTAGTTGTTCAAGAAAGCTGTCCCCAGAATGTATTTTTAAGCCTAATTTGGAAGTTGGCATTTACATTGTAAAAAACCTTACCCAACTTACTAATAAAATAGAACAAAATCTGAAAAACCTGTGTCCACCCCAAGAGTAACAAGGGTTTATACAATGCTGCTTGTTCTTTTCAGAAGTGTATTTAGAACCAGCTAGAAGGCAATCCCTTTACTGTACTCGCCAACTACCGTAAAGCGTAGAGCCCTTTATTACCAAACATGGCAATTCTGTTGAGTTATAAGATATGCTTGTATGAGATTATGCATGGGGAAATGAGTGCATAGAGAAGAGCAAGAGAAGGATGTAACAATTGAGAAACCCCGTGGGAGGCAGAAAGAGTTAATCCCTGGGAAAGGAAAGTGAAGATCATGTTTAAAAATGTGTTCAAAGGAATCCTCAGTTGGCTGCTCGGTTGGCTGCTTTCTCCTTTAAAGTTCTATCACGGGGCCTCCTCCCATGCCTGTCTCATAAATTGTGTGAAGTTACAAAAGGACAGTTGCATTGTGCTGCAGTTGTTGGTTGCCCCACTGCCTCCATTCAGAGGCATGTTGCTCCACACGGCTTGACTACCTTCCTTGATTCCTGATAGGGCTATTTTGTTTAAGGAAAGTGCTGGGGAAGGATTTGGTGCACTTGCACATAAATGGCATTAGACATTTTCTTTGCAAGAGTGGGATTTCATGGAAAAGAAAGAGCAGGCAATTACTCTTGGTGATAGTGAATTGAGGGAATGCCAGCAAAACAGAGCTTTACAAGGAGGGCATGAGAAACAATAGGAATTTGCAGACATTTGCTGTGAAAGTCCTGAGCTGGGGTCTGAAAGCTGTTGAGGTGTGGATGGGAAGAAACATGCTCAGGTTAAACGGAGATGTAGTTTGGCCTCAAAGCACCTTGGCTTCTTGCTAACACTGATTCCAGAATTAGCTCTAGATGGGAGTCGTAATCCCCTGAAACAGATCTGACACAGGGATTCTCCTGGATTCATGACTTCTGTTTGAGTAGCAGCAGGTGGATATCATGGCCTGCAGGCTTTGCTGAGCTTCAGCTGGTGCACCAGTTGTTTTTCTATCTTGAGCAAGAGACCTAGCAAAAGTGACTCATACCCTTGTCACCATGCAATTGGACTATTGCAACATACTTTATGTGGGGCTGCCTTTGAAGATGACTTGGAAGCTGCAACTGGTATGGGTACAGCAGCCAGAATGCTTAGTGAATCAAACCAGCTATTGTAGAATAACGCCTACTGTATTCTAAGTTTGCTGCACTGTCCAAAATGAATCTGCCTATCTGGCAAGGTCACTTAGAGAATGTCTGTTGCATATTTCACCACCACACAAAGTAAGAGACACATGGATAAAAAGATAGACCTTCTCCATGGTTGCCCCCATTGTATGGAATATGCTGTCCCCAGAGATACATTTAGTTTCCTCCCTCCTGAAGTTTAGGAAAGCACTTAAAACCTTTCTTTTAAATTGGCCTTTGATATGGATTCCTGTAGTAGTTTTAATTTACTCATTGAAGATCTATTTATCTATAAATCCACCTACCCACACAAGAACACACACACACAAATTAAAAAAAAAAAATCCCTCTCACCCCTATGGGTGGCCCTCTTTCCTGCTGGTGTACAGTCTCTGGGTGTTGGACTTGGGGTGGAAACCTCTGTACATTGTGAGGAGCTTTTGGGTCTTCACATCAGCAGTCTCCATGTTCTCCTTTGGCCAGCTCACTATACTGGCAGGGTATCTGATGGGCAAGGCATACATGTCAATGGCATGGATCTTGTTCTTCCCATTGAGCTGGCTCTTCAGGACCTGTCTTATCCTTTGGTGGTACTTGGATGTTGCTGTCTTCCTTGCCTCCTCATTGTGGTTCCCATGTGACTGTGGGATACCAAGGTACTTGTAGCTGGTCTCTATGTCTGCTATGTGGCCCACTGGTAGTTCCACCCCATCGGTCTTAACTGCCTTCCCTCTCTTTATTACCATCTGGCCACCTTTCTCCAACGTCCTCACTGTCCAGATCTGTGTCAGGTGCATCAGCGAGTCGATCTCTCATTCACTCTTAACATATAGCTTGATGTCATCCACGTAGAAGAGGGGGCTGATGGTAGTTCCACTCCTGAATTTGTACCTGTGTCCAGTCCAGCATGCTATACACACTATATTATGGAGTTGTTGGTGGATGGGAGATGTGTTATAGGGTATTGTTTTTATGCCTATGTTCATATACACCATGGAGAGTTGTGTGATTGGGGAGATATAAAATTTCTGTTAATCAATATAAAAAGCAAAACAAAAATCTCTATTAGGGAAAACAAACAAAAACAACAAAAAAATATCCCCAAACTGCTGAATAAGGGCTGAGAAGTTTGGTAATCACAGAACAATGAGTCAGAAAAGAAAAATAGAAAATGTGGGTCGGGGCAGAATGGATTATGCAGAGAGCGCACATGGCTTCCTGGCTGAGCACTTCACTTCCAGAAGCGCACTACAGCACTTCATGCAGGAGGATGAGGATGCAGTGCAACGTTTTGTAACAAGTTACACTTGTTCTTTAATAAACAACCTAGAAACTATAGTTGGTACAAAATGTGGCAGCCAGGATCCTAACGGGCAAAAATTGCCATTGTCATATAGCGCCTATTTTCTGCCACTGCCAAGAGGTGTTTGGATCCAATTCAAAGTGCTGTTTTTGACTTCTAAAGACCCGAATGACTTGGCTTTAAAATACGTCAGGGACTCTTCTCCAAGTGAAATCTGACCAATCCACAGGTACATGTAGAGAGATGATATAGGTTGGTAGTAGTGTACCTCCTTCTATGCCATGAACTTGTTCCAGGAGCTAGGACTGCTATATAAACATTAGACAATGACAACGTCCACGTCCTATAGAAGCTCAGTTGAAACTGGTCCATTTAAGTCATGATCTTAGAGAGAAGTGATCCAAATGCAACTTGCTAGACAGTTTCCATTTGCCCAATCTAGCCTAAACCATCCAATGCTTTCCGTTAAAACACTGGATATTAATCCTACATTAATGCCAAACAGGCTCAAATTGTGTTATAGGCTCACATTCATATGTGTGTGTGTGTGTGTGTATCTATATACACACACGCGCACACATGTTGTTTAGTGAAGTTACCATAACCTCAGTTTAAGAATATCAACACACAATTCTGTGCATATGTTTTCAAAGAAACTCCACTGCGTGCACTGAGACTTAATTTTCTTAAGTGTGTATAGGATTGAAACCTCCATGGCAAATCTTACCTATAATAGGGGCTCACGTTCCCCTTTATTAGTCATTGGGTTTCTTTGCATAATCCAGTTTTACTTCTGGGGACTATAGCTGCACTACAAGCCTGCAATCTTGTGTACCTTCACTTGCAGCTAAGTCCAAGTGGATTTAATAAGACTTATTTCTGTGCTCAAAAGCTCTGGCTGGCTCTGAATTTCTTCTGAAGAATGTAGATACTGGCATTTTCTAATCTGATCCCTTCCAGATATATTTGGACTATAATTCCCCTTGATTATGGTACCTAGCTAGGAATTCTGAAAATTGAGTCCAACACAGCTGTTTGGTAGCAGGAAAGGGAAGCCTTGTATGAATTCATAATATATTTCAATTGAATGTATACGGAATGAGAATGTGAAATAGCTTATATTATAGAGGACAATATTAAATTAGATGATTTAAGGACCCTTTTACATTGTTTCCTTTGCTTGAACTAAGCTGCCTAATTCCTGTCCTGGATATTTTGAAAAGTGAACTGCTGCAATACCTGCTTTCTTAAAGCCCCTGTCTGCTTGTACATAGAAGTTTTTTTAAAAATCCAGAAAAATGATTTTGTGGCAGCCAAAGTTTCAGCTGTTGGGCAACGCTATTAAATCAAAGTCCAGTTATTTCAACAACCCCCATTGCAAATCTCAAGACACTTGCTCTGCCGTGTGTCATAAATCCAGTCTGTCTTTATAATTATCCAGCCTGCCCCAGGATCCTCCCAGAGAGGCATTTTAAAGAAATTACCAAGTGGGAATTTCAAGCTGGAATCTTTGTTGTTGATACAGTGCAACACATCTATTTAGAGTTGGGGGGCAGTCTGAAAATTGGAGAACTGCAGGAATAAAGAAACATGCTCTCTGCGGTCTTCAGAAGAAACTGGGACACTTCCCAAGTGGTGCTTTTAATGTCCTTAGAGTGTTTAACTAAACCAGAGCCAAAACTGGGAAACAGCTAGCTAGGTGAAGTTCTCTTGTCAAAAGACCAGGCCCTAAAATGGAGGTGGAAGAGAGTCCCCAAAGGCATAGATCCACATCTTCAGCTCAGCAAAGAAGTCTCATGAATGGCACAGAGGCCCATCCTACTAACACAGCAGAGCAGGGATCCCGAGAGACGAACAACTTCCAAGTTCCTGTGACATTTGTGCAATGCTCCACTGCTGTGTCCTGCCAATGTTCTGGATTCCCAGAGATGTGGCGTCTCTGCCAATACTCCAAGGTCTCTTAAAACTTTCACAGCTGTTTAAAAATAGCCCCCACGTGCTGGAAAATGTGATGGATGCTTTTCCTCCTGCCAGGGGCTCATCATCCTGGGGTTGAGGTTATTTGTTTATTAAGCAAATGCATAGGGCTACCTATGTTAAGCAAATAACTCTGGGCAACTAACAATTCAAGCCAATATAAAACAACAAAAATACAATTAAAAACAAACTTGGTAAATATGAAATACAAAAGCCCAGGCATTTCACACATAACTCCCAATCACAAAAGCACACATATCAGGCTCTGCTAACAACCCAGTTCTAACACCTGAGGGAAAAGCTCGATTTTTATAGTTTTCTGGAAGGCCAACAGGATCAGGGCCACTATTCTTGGTTTTCATTTTCAAATGTTTATAGGCAGCGCTAGGATAACTTAGTGTCACCTAGGCTGGTCCTCACACCTTCTCATTGTCAAGGCTCATCCCTACCCCTGCAAGTCTGATGGCCCTCAAACCATGCATTTACACAGATCCATCCCATCCAGACCAATATTTCCATTTTTCTGTGGGAACCTGTATTTAGGAGCTTAGGCAAGCAGCCCCCTGGGATTCTTGAACCGCTGCGGGTTATGATTCCAGAGCTGGCTACTTGCATTCTGCAGGAACTGGCAGCTGCCCATCCTGTATTCATCCCAGAGAATATTCTTGTATATCAGGATAGGGCCCAGAGCTTTTTGCAGTCAAAGCAGAGGCTGACTCAACCTCTCTCTCTTTCTGACAGCATTCCCTGTGGCAAAAGTTGTCCTTATCTCCCTCCTGAAAACTGACATCTTTGGGTGGGGCCCAGGAACAGGATCAAATGACTTGGAAGCCTCTGTCATTTGCTTGTTTGATTATACTTTCAGCTGATAAGGTTGCCCATTTGCTGGCAACTCTGAGTGGTTCACATAGGATTAAAAACAATTTTGAAATGACAAAAAATGACAACAGTCAGACAAAATGTCCATGACATGGGGAAACAATTAATTTCTTCATATTTAATCATTTAAAATGTTGCTGGATATTTATATCACTGTCTTATAAATGAAATGTCATGGAGAAAATAAACCTAACAAACCAAATGGAAGTCGCACCCCTTTCCTTCCTGTCTTTTGGACACGAACAGGGTCAAACTCTTTGCCTAATCCCACCAGACTCAAATTGACCCTCCCTGCCCCAGACAAAGCCCACTGCAATCCCATCTAAACCAAAGAAAAGAAGCCTTCTCACCAGGTTATGGGCAACCCTTATGGGAACTGAACCCCCAACCTTCATCAGCTGATGACCTCAACGTTCCATCTCCTTAACAATGGACCGGCTCAGGCTCTGCTGCCCTCCTGAAAGGCCCATTTGGCCTAACAATAGAACCCACCCACCCCAGGTGCAATAACAAGGACCTTCCTAGCTTCCCCAAACTGGCCAGCCAATCAGATCCCTAGGATTTCCCGCCTTGTATCCCTGAACTTCTATAAAAATCTTTGCTTTTCCATTGTTCAGAGTCCCTCTTTCTTGTAAAGCAGACACCCAACCATTGTTGCAATAAACATGGTTCTTCTCCTCAGTGTTGTACTCCTTCTTCAGACTGAATCCACAACAGAAATGAATTGTTCAAGGTTATACTTAGTGGAAGTAAATTTCCATTTTGCTCCTCTGACCCAGTGGAGCAGCCTGGACTGATTTTCCCATCAGCCCTGCATTTCTGTGCACATCCACTGAGCAATCAGCCTCACTGAATTTAAGGAGGTTTATGCTCAGATAGTGTACTTTTACAAGTTCTATGGTGGATTTCTTAAAAAGGAAGTTAAAGAGAGGTTTCTTTTGTAAATTTGACTCCTGCTTAATAGCATTGCACTCTTCTATTCCAATACAAGGGAACACCTGTAGCTCAGGGTTGAGTTCTTGCTGGTCTCTGAGCTTGGTTGTTTGCTTGTAGATGTTTCGTTACCCAATTAGGTAACATCATCAATGCTAGCGAGTGTGAAGTTTGCTGCCTGTTTATATACAGTAGCTTGCCTTGACAGTGTTGGTGGGGATGTGGTTTCCTCCTTTGTGGTTCCTTGATTATTGTTTTCTGTCTGACTGTTTGTCTGGTGTTAATCCCTGCTTATCTGAATGCTGACTGCCGGAGGGGATGCGTTCCAGTCTTCTGCTTGAGAATGTCTGTGAGCGTGAGAAAAATAAGTCTGCTCTGAGCCACGGAGCTCGATATCTATTCAAAGCTCCCGTCTCCTCCCGCACTTTGCTTGGAAGTCATCTAGTATTATAAACCGTCAAAAGAGAAAATGTGGCAACGGTGGGCAAGGAGTAGCTCTTTCTTGCGGCGCTGGGCGGCAGTTAGGTTTTTCTTCGTCCTTTTTAACTGGGGCTCCTTTTGGCCCGAAGGTGTAACGGAGACCCGCCTGGATGCGTGGCCTTGGGGTCTTTCGGCACCTGCGTTTCAGTTTTCTGCTCCCGCATGTCCAATAGCGGAGAGCGTGGAGGGGGCGTGTTTGTTGTGGGAGAGCGGGGCTCCTCCCAGCTGCATGGGGGGACCGAGAGCGAGAACGGGCGGGCGAGCGCGCGAGGAAGGCAAGGTTGCCTCGCCTCGGGAGTTTGGTTGCAAGCGGAGGCTGGCCGGCCGTCGGGCAGCGAAGGGGGAGAGCGAGGGCCTGTGACTGAGGCGGACAGCTGGCTGGAAAGACTCCGAAGGGGACGGCGGGCTGCGAAGAGTTGGCGCGGCGGCGGCGGCGGCGACTAACCTGCTCGCCTGCTGCTGCAACGTCTCCCAGCATGTCTGGGGCGCTCGAGTTTTGCCTCTTCTGCCTCAGCCTTTACCTTCGGGGAAATTCAGCCTTCAACCTGGATGTCACCGAGACCGTCCTCAAGCGGGGAGAGAACAGCAGCTTCTTTGGCTTCTCCGTGGCGTTGCACCAGCAGCTCAACCCGCAGCCCATCAGCTGGTGAGTCTTCTGCCTGGCTGGGAGAACGGGAGGTTTTGATGCTGATCCGGGGGACGAGCCCGAAAGGGGATGGAGGTAGACGGGTCGCCCCCGGGGACGATTTATGGCCACAAGAACGAGGCGATCAGACTTCCGCCTGATCATTTAATCAGGATGATCGCACATCTTTCCAGGAGTCTTCTAAATTCAGATTTCTCAGGGTTTTGAGCTTTAACACCCACTCATGTAAACGCATCAGCCCCTGCCTAATTCTCTGGCTATTGCAATTAAAACTTAGGCTGATTATACCTTCTGGGTGCAAAATATGTGGAATATATGATCAGTAATATTTCCTTTGCTAATGCCCAGAGCTTTGGCAGTAGTAAAAGAGGACAAGATTAAGAACAGTTTGTTTCCTTTCAGCTGCCCTTGATGGATATTTACTGTTTTGTTTTTAAATTCCAATGCAATTTGGGTACATCATCTGCAGGGTGGGGAAGTAGACTCACACAGCCTGTTGTTACATTCTCCGCTGCCCTACCCTAAATATTTTTAATATTTCTGTAGAGGGAAGGGAATTCTTCACCTGATGGGTGCGTTGCCAGAGTTTGCATTATTTTGTTGCTAATGAGTGTCTTAATAGGTTTTCTACCTTGCCTTACAGTCTTTTCCCACAAGCTTAACATTTTCCCTAGTTAAATAGATAGGGTGTTATGAGATATTTTCTTTTTTCTGCATGTAAGCTATTTTTTGGGAATGAATCCTCCTCCTCCTCCTCCTTCCTCTTCTCTTTCTTCTTCCTGGCTGAGACCGGAAAGATTGAATTCTGAGCGATGCTGAGCGCATTCTCATTCAGCGCTTACGCAGCTGAATCATTGCTGAAGGCGAGGTCTCCCTTGGCCAGGGCTGCATTCATAGTTAGCCCCTGACTACAGCCATTCTCATGATTGCTTTGCAGGGAGAAAACGTAGAAGACTCTGTGCATGGCATAGAGTCACACAACTGGAGTGGCACAGAAGCATTCCTAATAAATAAATAAATGAATAAATACCTTATTTTGTGGAAGCACAGAGCCATGCACTCAGGGAAGTCTACTGAGATTCTTGAATTCCCCCCTTGGAGCTGGAACAGAGGGGAAGATGACCCTGTGATCTGAATAGAAAAGCCAGGTCATGACTGTATTAACCTGTCATCTGGGTGGTTTTGCACATACATCAGGAAATCTTGGGGATGGCATCACTAGGAGGCCTGTAGTCCCAAAGGGTGGGGTGAGAATATCTTCCTTCAGTTAGAAAGAGTGGAGGGAATTCTGGTGACTCTCTGAAGGGTTTGATTTCTTCCATGCTTTGCTTCTCTGGGGATGTTGTGACCTAGGATCTGTTCCCTCTGTAATGCTGCTCTGAGGATACTGACAAAGTGGAGCTTCTAATTGTTTTGCCTGCAGTCTTTAGCCCTTGCTCTTCAACGGGCTGCTGAAGACCACTTCAGTTCTACTGAACCTTCCTTGATGACCTCATTCACCTTTCTTTCTGGAAGCGCTACTCCTTTTTCTCTTACTGGTAGTGGCTGTCAGCATCTTGGACTCCATTATCTTGTTTTGTTATAATATAGTGGTGCAATACTATTAAAAAGAATTGCATTTGCAGTCAGGGCTGGTCTATCAGCAGCCACTGCAAACAGGAAATGCACAGGACAAGGGATCGGCCTGGAAAGGTAGGTTAGGGACAAGTCTGGTTAATTCTGGAATCTGAATAATATTGTATTAGTGGCAGCTTCTTCTTGGGCTTCCACAATTTCTTTAAGAGTAACTTGAAGCTACCAGTGTCTAACTGCTTTCCAAGACATAATTAACTGCTTTCCAAGACATAATTCTAGAGATGGAGAAATGAACTGGTTCTCTTCCTACTATTCAACATTATAGTCGAATGGTGGGCAGATTCAGGCTCTTTAACACCAGGGTACCATGTCATTCATGGATGTATTTGGTAGCTTTAAATCTAATTTCTTCAACTGTAAATGGAAATATTTATGATTTAGTGGCAAGATTCAGAAGACAACTGTAGACGGTAAGGTACTTTGCAAACTAACATGTCCCATAAATGATTGGTAATTATGGAAGTTAATATTTATAAACTTTGAACTCACTGCATTTTATAGATAGTTCCCAGATAACCTCACATGATAGCAGTTAAAAGGGCCAAGCCAACCAAGCTTCTGCAGCAGAACACCATGCACTTGCAGACCATGCAACTTCCATCTTCTCTCACCACTAGTCATGCTGGTTGGGTCTGTTAGGTGTTGAAGTAATATCTGGAAGGCCACAGGTCCTCAGTCCTACAGTAAATGCTAGAAAGGAAATGATTATCTTCTGGCATGGTTCTTGTGTCATGATTTATAAAGGGAGCGTCTATATTTTGTGGATGCTGCATCAGCTCCATTCCAACCCAATTGTGATAACTCCCATTGTTTAATCTATACTGTGATATGAGCAACTGCAACAGAAACAATGTTAATATTGAGTTGTTTGGCAGCACTTTCATTTTTAAACAAGAGTGGTCAAGTTGTGGGTTGTAAAAATGCTATTTCTCCTGCAAAAGTACTAAGAGACTGCAGACACAGCAAGTTTACACTATTTCACCTGTCATGCTGCTATAACAAGACACTCATAAAGTATAAATCCTAGCTTCCTTCTTTTCCTTGGATTTGAGACTCAAGCGTAAGAAGGGCCCTCTAGGATCCAGCTCATCTAATCCAGCATTCTGTTCCCAGATGGTTAAGCAAATGCCTGTGAGTCTCACAAGCTGGCCATAATAGCCCCTTCTGCATAACGAGAAGACTTCTAAAGCTCTGGAGCACCTTGGGGATGCAACAAAACAGGGATGGCATGGAGTGGGGTTGTTAACCACTTGCTCTGTGTTTTGAAGATGCTTGGAGGTACAGCGTAACTGCAGGAATGAGTCCTCGTCTTTTCCTCCAGTTCCAAAGACCTCACATGTGTGGCAAAGCTACATTCTCCCTGCACTCTT